AGCCAGCATGGGGGAACTATGGCCCCTTCATGACTCGTGGACTTCAATTCCCAGAATTCCTCAGCCAGCATGGGGGAACTATGGCCCCTTCATGACTCGTGGACTTCAATTCCCAGAATTCCTGAGCCAGCATGGGGGAACTATGGCCTCTTTATGACTCGTGGACTTCAACTCCCAGAATTCCTCAGCCAGCCTGGCTCAGCTTGGAAACCTCTCCCTTTCCCCTCAGCATGGCTGGCTCAGGAATTCTGGGAATTGAAGTCCACGAGTCATAAAAGAGCCAAGTTGGAAGACCCCTGGTCTAGGATCTCCTGCTTAAGCAGGGGGCAAGATCCCTTCCACTTCTGTTATTCTTAAGGAATCCTTCCAACTACACAAGGATGCAAGCTCAGAGGTGTGTTTCATCCTCCTCCTTACAAAACAGATGAAAGAGCAGTTTCTCTAGTGGGTTGACACAGGTCCAAAAAGAGCCGAGAAGAAGTTGGAGCAGCTGACACACCCAGTTGAACTTCCTCCAGGTCCTGGAACCAGCTCAGTCGATGGATCTTGGAGACCAGCCGGGGTGGAAGAAGAGAGAGTGTGGGGGCAGCAGCAGTACCAATAGACAATTGAACGAGGGCATAATTCAGGATCTCCTAAACTATTTAGGATTAATTTTGCCTGTGTCAATCAGAGGTAGTAGCAGAAATTGTAATTTACGCAATGAGCCATCGCTCCAATCACCGTGTCTTATGTAGGGCGTTGTGTAACCTTGTGTTCTTGCAAGACTTATGAAATTGGAGTGGTTTGTTGCCAGTGTCTTAGGAAGGAAAGCCCTGCTTTCTACGTACCGAATACTGGCAACGATTTGTCCTGATTTACTAGGAACTCAACATGGTGCCCGCCAATCTAAGGTGGGTTTTTGTCTGGCAGAAGCTGCTGTGGAGAATGGAAGCGGATCAGGAAGTCCTCCCAGGAAGATGGGCCAAAGCAGGGGTCTTCCAACTTGGCCCTTTGATGACTTGTGGACTTCGACTCCCAGAATTCCTCAGCCAGGCACGTGTGCCTGGCTCCAGAATTCTGGGAGTTGAAGTCCACGAGTCATGAAGGGGCCATAGTTCCTCCATGCTGGCTCAGGAATTCTGGGAGTTGAAGTCCACGAGTCATGAAGGGGCCATAGTTCCTCCATGCTGGCTGAGGAATTCTGGGAGTTGAAGTCCACCAGTCATAAAAGAGCCAAGGTTGCCACCTACCCCTGGGCTAGACATTCCCAGTCCTTGCAACCCTCCTTCAGGTGTCCTAGCCCAGGGCAAAGCTTCCAAACCTCCAAAGGGCTCACCTGTAGCCCTTTTCCTCCTCAATGGGGTTTCCGTGGAGAGTCAGGCTGCGCAGGTGAGGCA